TCCTTGACCTGGAGAGTTTCCCCTGGAGAGGGGACAGGGCTGTGGGCACAGACAAGAGGGCCTCATGGGCCTGAGGGACACGGCCCCATCCTGGAGTCCCTCAGGGGACCTGACCTGTTAAAGTCAAGGCTAAGTTAGAAATAAAAAAAAGAGAGAACTTCAGAAAGAAAGTGAAAAGAGATGGTATAAATAAAATAATAGCACAAGTAGTTCCAGTGGTATTTGTTCATGGTCTGTTTGCCCCTAAGTTCAATAGGGCAGGGATTTTTGTCAGTTTTGTCCCCTGCTGTGTGTCCCCAGTATCTAAAACAATGTCTGGCACATAATAGTTGCTTAATAGGTATGAGTTGACTACGTGAATAGCAAAAATTAAGATAGCTTCCTCCAGATGTCAGAATTTGGGGAAATACTCTCAGTACAGTACCTGGCACATATAAAGTGGTCAAAAAATACTCACCGATACGTTTATTCATTAAAAATTATGATGATTTAGAAGTGCAACAAACAGACATTATGGCCAAATGCTGACCATAAGTGTTAAAATCAAGATTTGTCCAAAGCTGAAAATCACCATCTTAGAATGAATCTCTGAAATGTAAGAACAAATCTGAAAGTGGATTAAAAACTTACTACTACCACAATTTTCTTATGCACAGTTTTAGCAGGCAAATCTTTTCAGGTTGAACACTTTAGTGAGGGATGTCTATTTTTTTTTTTTTTTTGAGCTGGAGTTTCACTCTATCACCCAGACTGGAGAGCAGTGGCATGCTTCCGGCCACCGCAGCCTCGACCTGCTGGGCTCTGGTGACCCTTCCTCCTCAGCCTTCCAGGTAGCTGGAACTACAGGCGCGTGCTACCACGCCCGGCTAATTTTTGATTTCTTGTAGAGATGAGGTCTTGCCAAGTTGCCCAGACGGGTCTCGAACCCTCAGGCTCAGGCAATTCACTCACCTCAGCCTCCCAAAGTGCTGGGATTACAGGCTGAGACACCGAGCCCGGCTAGTGAGGGATTTCTCTGCTGTGCCAGCTGACAACTTGTTCTTACAGTCTATAGCAGGGGTCCTCAAACTACGGCCCGCGGGCCACATGCGGCCCGCCGAGGACATTTATCCGGCCCACCGGGTGTTTTTGCCACCGCTGCCTGTCCTGCCTAGCAGCCGACTCATCCAGGCCCGCAGTGCGCTTGTGTGGAATGTGCGTCGCACTCTCCGACTCCCTCCTTCTCTCTGTCTCTCGACTCCTCCTCTCAGTCTCGGGTGTGATCGGGCGAGTCATGAGCTTACCTGTGCAGAGCCTGCTGCTGCCTGAGGACCGAGGTAAGAACAAGTTAGGATTTTTTTTTTTTTAATTTAAGTTAGGAGGTCTATTCTTTTTTTTTAATTTTGCAGTTAGTAGGGCCTTTTTTTGTGGTTAAGGGGGGCCTTTTTTCCCCCTGAAGTTAGGAGGTCTGGTTTGTTTTTCTTTGCAGATAGGGGGCGCCTTTTTTTTTTTGAAGTTAGGAGAGTCTGGTTTTTTTTGAAGTTAGGAGAGCCTTTTTTTTTTTGAAGTTGGTTAGTTGGTTGGGGGTGGTTTCTAGGGGGATTGCATCACAGTGATAACCCAAATAGTCAGTGCTCAGTGCTAATGCAAATGGTTTTTTAAACTATAGTCCGCCCCTCCAACGGTCTGAGGGACAGTGAACGGGCCCCCTGTTTTAAAAGTCTGAGGACCCCTGGTCTATAGACTCCAAAGGTTGTTTTAAGACATGGCTCTAAATTTCTTGACCTGCCTTCCAGTGAGACGCAGGGTCTCTGTCTCCTCACCTAGAGCCTGGGCAGGTTTGTGACTGCTCTGGCCACAGAGTAGAGCAGAAATGAGGCTGGGTCGTCAAGGGCGTATCTGCAGGAACGCTTATTCTGGAGCCCTGAGCCAACATGGGAGAAGTCCAGTGTTCCAAGGTAGCCATGCTGGGAGGAAGCCTAAGTCAGCTGGACAGACAATGCGTCAGGAGTCCCAGCTCAGTCCAGCCTCTGAGTCATCCCACCCAGTCACCAGACTTGCGAGCAAAGAAGCCTCTTTATTCCAGTCCCTGGTCACCACTTCACTTCATCCTTCAGGTTTTCTAGCTGAGGACCTGGACATCAGGGAGCAGAGACAAGCTGTCCCTGCTGTTCCTTGTGCAACCTTCCGAGCCATGAAATCCATGAGCTTAATAAAATGATTATTACTTTACCCCATAGGCTTGGGGTGGTTTGCTATGCAGTAAGAGAGCCAGAACAGCTGCTCACTCAGTATCCACAGTATTTAAATAGTGTTACTTTGTATGTAGAGACTAAAATCCATCTCCCTGCTTACACCACTATTTGAACGTTCACGGGAATTATTTCTGAATATAAAAACAAACGGCCTTCCTAGCTATGGTTAATCATGGCAGTGATTGTATGTGTGAAATAACTAGTGTGGAAGAGCAACACTGCTGTGTCAGCTGACAACTTGTTCCTCCCGTCTATAAGCTCCAATGGTAGTTTTAAGACATGGCTCTAAATTTCTTGACCTGCTTTCCACCGAGAAGTGGGGTCTCTGTCTCCTCCCCTAGAGCCTGGGTAGGTTTGTGACTGCTCTGGCCACAGAGTAGAGAATCTCTCTACTTCCACCACTATTTGAACGTTCACGGGAATTATTTCTCCTCCAACTTGACTGGGAGAACGCCAACTTATAAACCCCATACGGAGGTTTCCATTCCAAGTTACATCCAGAAGGCTTTTCTATATTTGAAAAGGAATGTTCAGATATGCATGCTAAATACGAATGCAAAACCTTGCTTGTGTTCCTGGTGTGGCTGCACTAATTCCTTAAGATGGATTGAATACTTCTGACTCTGAGAGGCCCAGCAATGATGTGGGAGGAAGAGCTTTAATATTCAGCCTTCCTGAGTATCAAAGCAACCTTGTGATTGTTATTATCTTTCTAATAACTTCCCGGCTCCTTGGGGTGAGAGGCCAGGTTGGTGGGAACAGGAGAAACTGAGGCTCACTGACCTTGGCATACAAAGGAGACAGATGAGTAGCTTTCTTTTTTTTGAGTTGGAGTCTCACTCTGCCGCCCAGACTGGAGTGCAGTGGCCGCTCCCAGCCCCTGCAGCCTCGACCTGCTGGGCTCCGGTGATCCTTCCACCTCAGCCTTCCAAGTAGCTGGAACTACAGGCGCGGTGAGTAGCTTTCAAGTGATTTATAATCTCCCCAATCCTTCCATTCCTCCAGGAGAGCAATAATGTGAGGAGAGCCCAGAATGGCCCCCGGATTCTATTTTTCCAAGTAGGCTGACTATTGGTTTTAAGTGCCCAAATTTCTGCCAGATCCCCCAGGGCAGGGCAATGCCCTCTTCCAATCCCCCTCACAGACCCACCCTCCACCCTACCAGGCTACACTGTGTCCCCTCAGGCCTTCCAGGATGTGATCATATCTGTTCAGAATCCCCCGGGCCGCTCATGTTCTCTGAGACCCCAAGTTTCATAAAACATATGTACCGTATGACACTCCTCAGCTGACAACTGCAAAGGAAATTTTATAGTCATCCCCTGTAACTCAGTACATTTCTAACAAAACAATGACGGGTCAAGTCTGGAATTGCATCCCAAGTCCCCAGGGCAGGATGGCACAGGCCTCTTCAGACCTTTAGGGATAACTGCAGTGAGGCTCTGCAAACGAAATATGGGGCTCAGGGACTTCTGAATGACAGGGCGGTGGAGGAGAGATCAGCCTTGCTAAGGGTGTGCAGATCGGGGACTGTTGCCCGGCACATTCTGCAAACCGGCACATTCTCCAAAGGGATAGTTCGTACGTCATTCAAAGGCACCTTGCTGGGTCAACTTACACTTTAGGAAGTTGCTTGGGAGCTCAGGGCCGACAGGTGACATATTGTCATTTTCATCATCTAAAGTCACGGTGAACAGGTGTCCCCGGAGCCTTGTTTCTACAGCGCAGCAGGTTTTCAGCAACACGTGGCCAACGCTAGGTAGGAAACCCCTTAATTTCTCACGGTGTTGGGGCAGCAGTGCCCCCTGGCGGCCATCAGGGCTGCCACAAAGCTCCGCGGATGCTCTAGGGAAGGGGGTGGGACCCATCCCCAGCCCAGGTGGAGGAAGCAAGGGGAAGTCTCAGAACCTGGCACCCCGGTCTCCACCATGTAAGGCTCCATTTTTCTGCGTTGGCCTAAGATGGATGTCTTTGTTTTGCTTACTGGGCATCTATTTCCACTTCTTCTGGAAACAGCACTTTATTTTCTTTTCGAGAACCTCCCATAATCAGGTCACGTGGTTCTTGAAGACTTAGTTGCACGCCACCGCCCCCCCCTCAACCTGAGCACCAGGTGCACAGTGATTTGAGGAGGGATGAGCACATGACCCAAATCTGTCCAATGGGAGCTGGGCCTGAGACTCCCCCCCCCCCCC